ATAATAATGCCAAATACATAAATGAATGAATCATTTCTAGAAAGTTGTCCTAAAGAATTCACTGAAACAAAAGAGGAATTCTTTGAAATTTCATACAAAGATAAAGGAATGTAGTTATCAATAACATCATTAATTAAAATTATAAAAATCCCTAAACCCACTCAGTGTCTGAGAATCAAAGAATAGCTAAGTCAATTTCGTTTATCTGAGAGGATGGTGTGCCTAGGAATATTACATAACCTAAGGAAATGTTCGTGTTATCCTAATAGAAAAATAATCAAGATACAAAAGAGGACGCAAGTGCAATTCTGCCTGTATCTGTGTTTACCTTTGTGTTTGCATGCTCAACGTGGACACAGAGGCCGGGGCCCAGGGTCTCGCCTGAATACGAGGGGATGTCTGTTAGCATCTTCTGTTTTCTTCAAAGTGCCTAAATTATTTTACCAAAGGAAAAAAAAAATCAATGACAGTCGCTTTTTCATTCACCAGAGTGCCTTTTGGAGACCAGACATTTATAATAGTAACTGGTGCCTAGGGAGTAGGTGGCCAATCTTGGTCAGTCTTTCAAACCATTAAGGCAGCACTTGTGAGCATCCTTAGTGGGATAGATTAATTGACTCTCGGTTTAATGTGTGGATCGCTCCCACATAGTCCCCCCTTTGTTGACCTCAGTGCTGCACCGTTCTACATCAACTCCGATTTTAAGAGAGAAATGATGCAGACCCCCACATTGTGACACACCCTTGTTATAATGTAACAACTGGGAAATGTCAAACAGACACCCCAGGATGAGCCTGGATGGCTCAGCAGCAGCAGCCATCTACTAGGCAGGAAGGTCCACACCCGGGAACTCGGACGGCAGGAGAGTCCCCCTCCCGCTAGCTCCCAGGTCCCTCCAGCCCCTTGTCTGTGATGGTTCCACCTGGGAAATGCCAGACCACACCCTGGAATGGGCCCCTATAGCCAAGAGGATGGCTGAACTTCCCGCTTCCCCGCAGTGCAGTCTAATTCTGTCCCACTGGAAGGGCCAGATGAGAGCTCCCAAACTGAATTCTATGCAAACTTGTGATGACTAACTTAGTGAATCGTGTCAAATTTTAAATTTTATTTTTATTTTCTTTTTTATCAGCTGCTGGATAATTGAAGGGGAGAAGATGCCCAATTGACATCCTGCCCCAGGCACCAGCCTGACTTGCCAGTGCTGTGCCTCCCAAGACAGATGTCAAGAAAGCGTGTGGCTTCCCACAGAAGTGGTACCCCGTTCCCTGTCAAAACTTCTCAGCCCTCAGCTGCTGTCACACTTGGAGCTTGTCTCTGCTCCATCATCCTCTTCTTCCATAGAAGGTAAACACCCCGAATTCACAATGGACACCCCGGACTTTGAAAAGAAGTGACCCTCAGATTTCACTCAGAGACTCTCACTCTGACACCTTTGACAGTGTCAACACAGATCTAATTTTATAAACCAGTAAGTCACAATTAGGAGCAAAATGAAGTATAAATCACAGAATAGATTTTTTTCCATACTTAACTATTTTAGGAGAAAAGTGTCTATTTTTAGACAAACAAATGGTAAGGAAGCAGTGCAGTACAGCCCGACTACAGGACCTGACACTGTCAATCAGAATGCTGCACCTTGCCTCCACTCCAAAGGAGTCTCTCCTGTGTGCTGTCCATCCGCATCACACAGGGGCTCAGCTATGTGGGGCCCATGTCTGGAACTCAATGCATGTCAGAATTCATGAAAACACGATGCTGCAAAGTTTGAAGCTTTGAAAAGCTAAGGCCCAGATCCTACGTTTCTATGAGAATGGTCCCTGGGATGTAGCACACGTCCATCATCTTAAGCTGAAGTAAAACAAAAGGTTCCCAGAAGAAAGCGGATGAGGGGCAGGAGATGGGAGAAGGGTCCTCTTCACCGTCTTCACTATGAAGGGCAAGGACATGGCCCTTGTGTGCTCTTGGGCAGGGCAAGGGTACAAAATAGTGTCACCACTATGGAAAAACCAATGTGGAGATTACTCAGAAAAACAAAAATAGACCAGTTTCTCTATTCCTTACCCCGCTGCAGCTGAA